CCTAAGTTCTCAATTTCATAATTAAGAATTCAAACCAAAACTCCTCCAGTGACTCCACTTCCCATGAAAACACAGGCCACCATAATAAAAAGATACACTGTGTATTACGTTTCCCCACCTCATCCTTTCTCTGGCCAATACACATTTGGCTAAGTGGCTGGCATTTAGACATCCCTTTGCCCCTGCCCTGCACTGCATCGATGGGTTTTAGCCACACAAAAGTATATGATATGAGTGTGAGTGTGGTGACTCAAGGTTCATTTTGCTAACGTAAAACAGAGACATCAGCCAACTCGGACACTTAGACGTTCCTAGAGAAAGTGCACACAGCCTGAAGAATCTGCATTTGATTCTAACAGAATGACTTACACCTCCTCCACCCAGTGATTCCAGTAGCGTAAATGGTGGAACACCTCGCGGTCAAGCTTTCAAACCTCAAAAGATGGCTGGAGACAGGCCGCTAAAAAGCCACATGAGAAGGACTAATGGCTATGAAGCCTTTTCTTCTCATGCACAAGGATAAGCGAAAAGTTGAAAAGAAGTTATACAGCTGAACTTCACCCTGTTCTCACGGGTGATTATTAGCACGCTCTCATTTACAAGTTACAGAGTGTGCTGAGGTCCAGAAACATCAAATCTCCCATTACCCTTTATCACATTCCTAGGGTCAGACAGAATTTCTATTTCACAGACAGAAAAATCAAGGCAAAAGAAAATTAAGATGATCCCTAAACAACACTACCTTTTAGCAAAAGAACCCAGAATGGACCAAATAGGCTGCCTTCAAGAGAAAAAAAAAACAAAAAACCCCACAAATATCCCTGATTTCTGCAATTAATACATCCAATAAAAAAATCATTTTATGTCACTAAATTACCAGAGAAGCCACACTGGCCCGTTTCTATTTTTTAATATTTTTTTCCTGATTTACAGGAGTCACTGGGGATGCAGGGAAGATCATATACCCACATGGAATTATGTGGCTCTCAACTAATGCTTCACATCCTGGGCAAACATGAATACAATTAAGCCTCTGTCTCTGTCGCACCAAAAGACCAGGTTGATGGGCTCCATAGGACCTCCTGAGAGCAGCTACAATACCAGTCCTTCTCTCTCTTAAATATGAGAGTTATTCATGTCACTGAAAAATAGCTCTTAATACTGACTACCATGAAGGAAGAGAAGCAGAGACTATGGTTTATGACAACAAATTTCAAATCAACATGGTTGCCTAAATATCCAGAGCTTGGTCAACAGGCCCAGCTGTCACGTAAACACTGGAATATCAATGAACTGACTGTTCCTGTTTTAAAAACAACAAATTGAGGTGACAAAAGTCAAGGGACCAACATCAACAGTTATCGTCTAAGGAACAAATCCCCACCAAGAAACTAGAGCACCATCAACTAGTGGGCACCATAGCAAATAGGAAGGGAGACAGCTGAGCAGATGCCCATAAAGACAAGTCCAAGGATGAATAACACAAATAATACTAAGGACTCCCCTGTATCAACTTTTAAATTAAATTTACTTAAACACTGTAAGGACCTAAGACAAGCAAAGACATACTGCCACCAAGGTTTTCAACGCACATGGCAATTAAAATAATATTTACTTCCTAGTGGCCAGTAAGCCTGAATGAGGAGTTTGAAACAAGGAACAGTATGGTTGCTTATCAACATCATGAGTCCAGGGGAATGAGGGCAGTTTGTCTATTATTAACAGGAAGCCTAGGAACAAAGTATATGCCAAGCAACTGGGGGGTTCAAGTGAGAGACAGAGTTTCAAATAATCTTTCCTTGGTACACTGAAGCATGTGTTCATTGAGTCAGCAGACATTTTGTGAGCACTTACTATGAACGAGACACACACTGACTGATGCTGACCAGGACAGTATACGTGCCACGGAACCTACTGGCAAGGAGTAGAGTATAGCTGATAACCAAAGTGCACTTTAAAATGAGAATTATGACAGGAAAACAGCCAACTTAATGAAGCTGGAGAGCCAGAATAGCATTATTATGGGCCCCTGTCTTCTCTATTAAGATGTTTAAAGAACTAATTTACATTCTCCCTTTCCTCCTTTGTGTGACTCTCAGATGTGTGGCCATTTTCCATTAGAAGGGACGGATGACAAAACAATCCCTGAGGAGCTAGTAAAAGGGCAGAAGACATGCTCGGAAAATCATAATTCCCGAAACTCTGGCTGCTTATTGTTTAAGATACGTGCAAAATGGAATTTGGAATGCACAACACACTAATATGTAATAAATAATCTAAATTTAAAAAAAAAAAAAAAAGGAGAGAAAACAAAGTGAGAGCCTGAACAGATTCCTCATTGATGGAATCTCAAAGGAAAAGAATGGGTTATATAGTAAGAACTATAGATGGTTCAAGTTTCGCTGGAGTTTAGAATACAGTTGACCCTTGAACAACACGGGTTTGGAGAGCACAAGTCCATTTATACATGGATTTTTTTCAACAGTAAATACTACAGTACAACACGACCCACAATTCATTGAATCCGCAGATACAGAGGAACCACACATACAGAGGGCCGACTATAAACTACTCTGATTTTTGACTGCACAGAGGGTTGGCAGGTTGTTCAAGGGTCAACTGCATAAAGCGGGAAGTTGAAATGGTGTCATGAATTCAAGGCTAAGGGGCTTGGATTTTATTTGATAGGAACCTTTCTTTTTTCCCCATTTATTTCCTTTTGTTTTCGTTTAATTTTGGAAACCACTTTTGAGCAATTAAGCGCCACGATTAGAAAGTTAATCTTGCACTAGGTGTCTAAGGAGGAATGGGGTGGGGGAGAAGAGCAGTTAGAAACCCACTGCAAAGGTTCAATTAAAAACAGGAGGGGGCTTCCCTGGTGGCGCAGTGGTTGGGAGTCCGCCTGCCGATGCAGGGGACGCGGGTTCGTGCCCCGGTCCGGGAAGATCCCACGTGCCGCGGAGCGGCTGCACCCGTGAGCCATGGCCGCTGAGCCTGTGCGTCCGGAGCCTGTGCTCCGCAGCGGGAGAGGCCACAGCAGTGGGAGGCCCGCGTACCGCAAAAAAACAACAACAAAAAAAAACAGGAGGAAACATTCCAAGCAACGTTGCAGAGGGAAACGTGGAGAGGACCTGGAGTGGGTTTAGATGGGGAAGACAAAGAAGGAGGCCTAAAAATCATCCCTGAGCTCTGAGGTCGGGTGGCTCAGAAAGCAGCAGAAAGCACAGGGAGATGAGGTTTGGGAGGGAAGACACACAGTTTGCAAACACTGCACAGGGGGCTGAAGGTGTGAGGTTGGAGCTCTGGGAAGGATGCAGGCCTGGGAAAGTTCCTCCCGGGAAACAGCGACAGGATGAGATCAGCGGGAAACCATAAACAATGTCCTTTGGGGACACATACTGTACAAATCAATGGCTTTCTAACAGCTTTCTTCAACTCTGGTTGGCGTTTTAGTTATCTGATCAAAAGGCCCCATTGCTAGACTCCGACACCCCAGAGAAGTGCTCCAGGCACCTCCTTCAGCCCTCTGGATGGAGCCCTCGCACTCGGTTGGGCACTTTGACTTTCTGTTGCCTCGAACTGAAGCTTCAGCTTCTCCGTGCTGCCCCGTGGGATGTGCCACTCTGATGGACCATCACTAGAGGTTCACTTTTCCCTCTGAGCTGTCCCAGGGGCCTACTGTGGCTCAGGGCTGTGCAGTCAGCACAGCAATCCCCCATTCCTGGCCCAGGCCCACAGCCCGGGAACCAGCCCACTCCAAAGGATTCTGCAGGCCCAGGAGAGGGGCTCGATACCCACACAGAATGGGTCATTTCTTGAAGTCTATTTTAAAATCTATTTAAAGCAATTCTAAAGCATCAGCTAAATGTGTTCCATACCCAATGTTTTCGAAAGGGCAACGTCTGGAAGTTAACAGTCCAAGTTACCCACACCTAGGCATGATGAGATGCAATCTCTCATGCCTATTTCTTGGTCAATTTTATTTACAGAGCAGACAACTCAGATTCGTATCACCTCTCCCTGTAACTATTAATTGTAAAAAGGAAAACAAAAAACAAAGAAGCTTCCTCTTTCTAAATCTGTTGACTACGTCAATATGTTAAATTATAAATATCTAATATAATTTTCAAATCAAACTAAACCAAACCAAACCAGAGGTTAAATTTTGTTAGGTTTCATACCATGATGAAATCTGTAATAACAAATAAATAAAACTCTGGGTAAAAGCACATAAATAAATAGACTCACACATACATACCACTTTAAAAAAATCTAAATACTAGAATGCAAAGTTTTTCAGGTAATTATTAGCATAATTTAGTTCACACAGCGTAGACTACAAAAAAATACATGGGTCTTTTATGAGCAAAGAACCTATATCCCACAGATATTTAAAATAACCATTAAAAACAAAAGTTTTGGACTTCCCTGGTGGCGCAGTGGTTGAGAGCCTGCCTGCCAATGCAGGGGACACGGGTTCGGGCCCCAGTCAGGGAAGATCCCACATGCCACGGAGCGGCTGGGCCCGTGAGCCATGGCCGCTGAGCCTGTGCTACGCAATGGGAGAGGCCACAACAGTGAGAGGCCTGCATACCGTACAAAAAAAACCCCAAAAAAGTTTTGTTTTTCGTTTTGTCATTTCAAACTGATTTAAAATGACTGTTCCTCTTCAGTAAAATCCCCTCCCTCCCCCGCCCCAAAAGATATTCAAAGATATTTTACTTCTCCAGTGTTTAAGCCTCAACACAAGGCCCTCCCCTCTGAGCTTCCTTAAACAGGCCGATAAGTGGAAAGATGAAGTCATTTGAGCTTCACACCCAAACACACAGCAGCAGGCTGAGATAACCAAAAGGCTCAGTTATCTGAGTAATCGCTGGTCAGATAACCTCTACATAACAAATCCTGAGTATGTGGAAAATCGTTTTCCTATTTTTCTGTAGGCTCCATTTCCGTGGATGGGGAGCAGCTCCCACTGGGGCAGGAGGGCTCATGGCACTTACCTTTTTGGCTCTTTGGGCTATGTCTGGTGTTCTTGTAAGCAGCTTCTCAATCAGGTACTCTCTGTTCTGCAAAACAAATATTCCCAACAGTTTAACATCAAATACAAGACACTGAAATTCATAGTGATTTCAAAATAGCAGATTTACTTGGGTTTTTAAGCATGTTACCTTGGCTTTCTGGAAGAATTTGCATTTTAAAAGTTCTGCTGCTGTGGGCCTGAAAGATCAATAATAAATTAGAGTTGAAACAATGACCACTCAATAAAGACACTGCCTTGACGAAACAAGTTAATCCTAGAGTCTTTCTGGAAGACCAGTTTCAGGAATAGCAAAGCCACAGACTAAATTAATCATAAGCTGGCACCAAATTACATGGTGCCAATTTTCCACTTCCTTCCAAACGCCTCTACTGCAAAACTGCTCCTCCACATAAACTCCTGTAAGTGAAATATCTGGGGCATGATCGGTCTTCCATCCTTCATCCTTACACTTCACTAAGTGAATTCAGTGTTTCTAAAAGGTGGCAGACTGACACATCTGTGAGCTAAATCCCTGTATTTATTAAGAAGCAGTACAAGCTGCGATACGACCCTATCGAAGAAACTGTGTCCACAGTGTTCTATGACTCCCCAAGAGCAGCAGTTTCTGCAAGGGGACCATGCAGCATGTGTACGAGCCCTGTCTGGCCACCGAGTAACCCGGTCTCAAGTGTCCATGGACTATTGTTTTTCAGGGGAAGGTAATTAATAGAATGGTGATGAACAGAATGCAAATTCACTTACAAGCATTATGGGATTGGTCTGATTGTTTCCTCATGGTGTCATTTAACTAGTTTCTCTGTACTGTATTTCCCATAAAATGCAAGTTGGGTCTGAAGGCTTGGCTAGGTTGACACAAGCATTTGGGGGAAGAACACGTCGTGGATGACACACATCTTATTGCAGCATGTGGGAGGCACATAATGATAGGTTATTTCAGCGGGAGGGATGCTAAGTTTAACCGCGTGGTCCCCAGGCCCAAGATCTCTCCATGGTAAAGGTAAGTTTTCGCCACTGCAACTGGCAAGTATTCTGCTGGATAATACATCGCCACGATATGAATATCCTGTTCCGGAGAAACTTTCACCTGATGATTTTTGCATCTTTGCCTTAAATAATTATTTCACTGGAGGTGGCAGAACACTGATTTTCTACTTCTCTCATTCCTTCTACGTTTAATAACTGGCACTCTTCCATAAAGAATAGCTTCTTTCATCAATAGTTCCCGCAGCCACGCAGGAAGAATCACATATACCTAGAGGATAGGACAGCCAGCAAGACAACTGGTCTGATCTCTTCAAAGAGTCGGTGTCATAGAAGAAAAGGGGAGACGTGAGGGGACTGTTCTCGATTAAAACAGACTTAAAGGAACATACAACCAAGGCAACACATGCCCCTCTCCTGAGTCCTGATTTGAACGGGACGGGGAGAGGCTGCAAGAGACATTTAGAGAGACAGGTGAGTGTGCTAGGTAGAGGACAATTTTAGGAAATTACTGTTCATTTACTTAGTGTGGAAAAGCACTGTGGTTACGTAGGAACGTGTCTGTATTTGGAGGGAATGCAAGCTGAGGTATTACATCTGTTACTTATTTTCAAACTGTTCAGCAAATAAAATGTGGGTAAATAGGGACAGCAGATGTGGGAAATGTGAATAATTGCTGAATCTCAGTGTTGGTGTAGAAGCAAACACTGTACAATATTTGCACCTCTTCTGTATGCTTTAAATTTTTCATAATAAAAAACTGGGAGGGAAGAGGGAAGCGTGACTGAATATCATTAGGTCTCCTCTCAGGCAGTGACTGCCAAAGGGATCATGACTATTGTGTTAAGGGGATCCAAGTTTAAAGGGAGTCCTCACACTTGAAGAGATTGGAAACCAGTGCTTTGAACCAGGAAGCTCCATAAAAAGGTTTCCAGGGACAAAACCCAAGCGTATAAAAGAATTAGGAAACATCATTAAGTGCAACGGTATACAAACTGTGTTAAGTCTGCAGGGGCCATAAACCGTATTTCTGCGCAAAGAAATTTTCTCTTTCAATTGTTACTGCTCTTTTCCTCAATTTCAAGTGGAACACTGGTTAGGGGTACCTAACAAAGAACCCCAAATCGCCATAGCCACTGCAACCAAGAGCCCCTAACTGCTAACTGTTTGGAGTAAACAAAGGTCTAAACGACAGGTGGGCCACGCTTTACATTTTGTGCTCCGTATCCCTTGGTAAGCTGGTTCAAATTCATGAATTTGTACCTTGGACCTTGTTTTTGGACCTTGTTTACCACGCACTAGAACTAAAAAGGATAACCGAAGTGATTTAACTTTGGTTGTCTCTTTAATGTAGACTACTCTTAGTGATTATTGGCCAAGTTTTGGGCTTCCAGCTACTCCAAACTCATCATTTCATTCTCTCAGTAAATATATATTGAGCATCTGCTGTTTGTCAGGCATCATGTTAGGTGCTAGGCCCACTCTAATGACTATGACAGACATAAATACTACCCTCAGCAACTTACAATCTGGCAGATAAGAGAGTGTGCTGTCAGACTGTAAGAGGAAGGTCAGAACATTCAAACACATGAATTGTGTTTGGGGAAAGGAGAGGGCTACTGCGAAAACATATGAGAGGAACCATTACGCAAGGGACTGACCATGGTTGGTACCTTACCATATGAAACCAAATTTTAAAAACCAAGAGGCATACAAAATAACTTAGATTTAACTTTTTAGAGTGAAAAGAAAAGAAACCTAAGAAAATCAAGATGATGAAGGAACTCAAGGCCACTCTTTTGGTAGAAACCCTCATCCCCTCTGGTCAATAGCGTTAAGAAACAGCCTCCCGGTGAGTCTGTCTGCCACTTCTCTCTTCCTCATTCCAACCAATCACCCACACTGCTCCCTAGCTGGCTTCTAAACGAAAACAATTTCTTATCCCTCCTAATGGATTTCAGTGGCCTGAGACCCCGACTCCTCCTGCCCCACTTCCCATCATGCCCCACGTGAACTCTATCCTCCAGCTACAGTGGTGGTCTCTGCCATCTCTTGCTCTTTCATGACAAAGCACACGCTGCTTTTCTTGCTTTAGAATGTTTTGTGACCAACTGGCATATCTTTGTTCGTCAGTCAAGAACCCATTTAAATGCCATCCGTCTTCAGAGGTGTTTCTCCCAGGTCCTACAAGTAGCGGAATTCATTGCTCCCACCTTGGTGCTCACACACCAATCCACCAAACTTTGCAATAATCTGTTCCTCTATCTCCCTGCCTCCACCCCACTAGGTTATAAGCCTTTCCAAGAAAGGGACCACAGAGTATTCATTTTTTTATATCCCCAAAGCCTAACACAGAGCACAAAACTGCTACAGCTCAGTTTCATGCTATAAGCAAATGTGGGGCAAAAATGATGCCACTAGACACTGGAGCCCCAAACCACAGCTTCTGGAGCCAGAGTTAGTCAGCACTCTAAGCATCTACTCAGTATGGTAGAGAGCAGGAGAATGATGTAATGAAAATAAGCCTCAGGCTAACAAAAAAGAAAAGGCGAGGGATGTGTCTGTGTACAGGAGGCACTGAGGAGGGGGGCCACAGACAACCCCCTCTCTCCTCCGCACCCCACCTCCTCCCTCCTCAACCCAGGGTCAAGTGTAGGACCCATGTAGAGAGAAGGCTGGGGAATGCCAGGCATACCTGGAGACACAGGGCTGGGAATACTTTCCCTTCACCAGCAAGGCCATTTCTATAGTAACCAAAACTGTAAAGGGGAAAAGCATGCTGCAGAGAAAACTCTTTCCTTTGGACTCCACCCTCAGCCTTCATCAACAGATACAGAAACACAATGACATGAGAAAGGAGAAGTGGTTTAAGAAGCCACACTCCTTTTTTAACAGGCTTAATATTTATGTTAAATAATACGTAATTTCTACTCTATACAGAGAACTAAATAGGAGGTGTTGAATTTTGGAGTTGAATCCTACATGTGCCAAACTATCTCCATAAAAGGCACGGAAAAGTGGAAGTGGAAAGAATGAGGAAAATGAGGAAGGGAAGAAAGTGATTAGAAGGTATGAGAGAAGCCAAGATGTGTGCTGCCCATCTGATTTTAGGGTTTTTGCGTGTTTTGTTTGTTTTAGTCTTATGCTATAGAAATTACTAGCGTAGGGTTAATGTGGAACCATCAGTGCTGCCTGCCTCTTAGCCAAGTACTACAGAAGAAAGAATTCTGCAAGTGCCATTCTGTCTTACACGTCCACTAACAATTATCAAGCAATACAATATAATGTAAACACAAATACCATTTTACAAGAAATGCTAAAATGCTATACCAGCAACCAAAATGATGGCCCAGGCTTTGAATAATGATTCAATTTTAAATCCTTAAAAACAATGCGAAAGTCTACAAGTACCAACATTCTCAGAAGAAAATCCCTTAAAGGATTCTAATACATATGGATGAACCAAAGTCCACTGAGACTTAAAATAATTTTCAAAGGATTCAGGATGAATGTGATACAGTTTAAATAGAAATTAAAATGCAAATTTTTAGAACTAACAATACATTGACCTTTGGCAGAGCTGCATTTCTCACCCCAACCCTTCCCTCAGAAGAAATATTCCAAGTTTTATTTGTTTCCAGTGGATTTATCTGTGCAACATCCACCCCTTTATTGCTCAAAAAAAATGATAGTTACTTTTATAGTTGTCATCCACATGAAGTATATAACCTCCAAGATTAAGGCTCATTTTTTTTAAGAATAGCAAAATGTTCCGCTGTGCAAATATAAGCAAATCTTTACCTATGCAAATGCAGGGCACAGACTTGGATGAGGCAAACAGCTCTGACACCCAGCTCTCAGGCAATAGGAAAGTTCCACGAGCTCTCAAAGTTGACAGAAAGCACAGTTCCTTCTCAGCTAGCCTGAGGGCTCCAGCATAGGAATGATTCTGTCCTGGTCACTGTTCCCCTGTGATATATGTTTTCATTCATTGCTAAAAAGGTACTCAGCAAGACCAGGATTTCAGTACTAGTCAACTGCTTTTAGATTACAAGCAGAGGATCTATATGCTGGCAACAGAAATAAATACAATGATCGAAACTCTTGCCTTCACTCCTCAACCCACTCCAATCTGGTCTGGTTCCGAAACTCTTTTCAATGAGTCCAAATCATCCCCAAATTGCAAGCTCCCAATTGTTTGCAGGTGTTCAAGAAATACCACTGAGTACGTAATACAGACCAGTCACTGTGGACAAAAAGAAAGACAGAAAGATGAGAGGCACAGATTCTCCTTCTAAAAAACTCAGAAACTCATGAGGAAATTGAATATGTAAGTCAATAAATGTACACAGTGTGATAAGTGCTACAAGAGACATATCATCAACATACTGCAGGAAACTCGAGGTTGCAACAACTCTACTTGGTCAGGAAGAAAAGGCAAATAATGAATGGCAATCTCAACTTCCTGAATACTTAGGAATGCTCCAGCACTGTTCTCTGCTTTAAGGGCATCATCTCCATCCTCATAGCAACCCTATGACGTGGTGTTATTAGGCCCATTTTACAGACAAGGAAACTAAGTCATGCAGATGATGTAGGGCTAGGAATCGCACCCAGATATATCTAACTTTGAGAACCTGGGGCCTTTGAACTAAGTACTGAAAGACAGGTAGAAGGGGGATAGGAGAAGAGGAAAAAATCTTTGGACAATATAAACAAAGGCAGAGAAGATAAGAAATACTCGCAGGTTTCTTTCAGACCTGAGCAGCAATTAGATGTTAACTTATTAATTCAGTCATGAATACATATTTTTTAATTGCATCCTGTATAATAAATAATTCAACAATTATAATATTGCTTTTTTCCATTCTCACATTTCCTGAATCTTTTTTCCCCAAACTTCCCACGTCGTGTCTTTTCATTACAAGAAAAAAGTCACCTGGGAAGTTTGTGCACCAGTGACACTCTCTGTTTGTTATAGAGGACAACTGCACAATAGTGAGAACAGATCACATTATACAGAAAATATCTAACAGAAGTTCTTAACCTATTAATACTTTGTAAATCAATAATGTTACCAAGAGAACACTCTGAGGGAAAGATGTTGTGAGAATTCGAATAAATTCTGTATGGCTCTCTTCTAAAACTTTCGTTGTTATTATTGTTGTTATTTGGTGGGGTGGTGGGAACCTGATATTTGAGCTCATATAATAAATAAAAACTGGAAAGACTTTCAAGATTATTGAGAAGTAAGGATGGCTTGTTAAATATAATGTATGATGGTCTAATCTATTTTGACCAAATTATAAGTCTCCTAAAGAAATATATTTATCAGTTAGTACACTAACAGTTCTACCCTGCAGAATAATTTTTTCAAAGAGCTGGAATCTTGCGGCATTACACATCACCACTAGGTGGAATCTCAACTATTCTGAGAATCTCAAAGACCATCAGTCACAACCCAGTCCTTCTAAAGGGGAAAACGAGTTCTCTCACTGGGCTTTTAGAGCATCAAAGTCTGTCTCCTTGGTGATGCTAAAAACTTACGTTTGGAGATGACACCAAATACAAGGGGAAGGCAAGCAAGTGTTGCACCCCTTTTAAAATAAATAATTTCAAGATGCTTAACAGCAAAGAGTCTTTAGAACTGGCTCCATGAGAGAGGTAACTAACTGATATAGAAAAGATTCAAGGCAAATTCAGTAAAATGTAAAGGAATGAACAGAGTTGCTACAAAGAACAGGTAAAATAATGCAAACTATGTTTATTCTAGAGAAGGGTAGCCTGCTCAAACAGTGGATCACTGTATGAAGGCAAAAGGCTTAAGTTTCATAAAGAACTTAAGGATAAAGGAATCCTTCGAAAAGCAGGGTCCTTCCCTGAAAAAGGAAGTTCCAAAAGAGAAGCCAGTTTTTATGTTTTAGAACGTTAAGTATCAAGTTGGAGTCCTGGGTGGATGAGGGTAGCCAGTAACTTCTCAGCAGCCTCTCCAGGTGTGTAATCCAAGTTCACCTTACGTTAGGACAATGCAGCACACAGCCAAGCACTACAAAGGGACTCTCCCCAGCCAAGGTTTATGCTCAGTTCATGTCATTAATATTCTCCTTCAAGTGACAAAGGACACTGGGCTCTACTATCACTACCCAGGATATTTCAAACTCACAGAAATGAAGAAGAAACAAAACTCAGAAAACAGACATACCACAGTGCAGGGCAATAACCCAAGAATAAAGAGCAAATACTAAAGTTAATTTAAAACCATTTGCTTCTATTTATACGATTAATCTTTCGCATGTTAATCTTCTTTACTGATAATCTTTTAAACAGCACAAACAACTTGTTCTGCAACTCAAAGGAAGCTCATGCAAAATTCAACAGCTCTGCCTGGTTTAGACTGGAGCTGGCAGGATATTCAAATCCTGAGAGGTCAGCGCAACCTGCACAGTGCAGAATATTAGCTCAGCTTCTGAATTCACCACTGCCAATTGCTTTTGATTTCTGTTTTACTTCACTTCCTTTGATGACAGAGCCCATACCTAACAAGCACAACCAATCTTACTAACACGGAAAATTTTCCTCTGCCTCTTCCTCGTCCTCACTCACTTCTCTCCCTTTTGGACCCAAGCTTCCACTAACAGGTTGGAAATCTGGGGACCAGAGCTGGATTTCCCTTCAACTGGATAGAACTAAACTTCAGGACTCCTCACACAGCCCTTCCCCATCCACAAACCAAGCTTTGTCATAACCCCACCCAGTCATGATCACTCACTCATCCACTCAGTTTGACATACCTTTTGGAGGGATCTTTCTGAAGACACAGTGAAAGTAATTTTCTAAAGGACTTGCCGTACTTTTTCATCATCTCCTTATCCTCTACTCCCGTTTCTAAAGTGGGTGGATCATTTTGCAAAGTCAACATCAACACCTGCAGCAGAAACAAACAGGACAGGATCTCAGGACAGCAGTTGCTACAACTGAGTTTTTCATTTTTCAGCAAAGCCTCAAAGACCCTCCTTGACTAGGTACAAATGTGCTTCCCCATGATTTTCATCTTCTAGAAAGTGTGCATTCAAAGTATTCAGTTCCCTTTGCAAATCTGTTCACGTGCCCTTTAACCTTTTTGTTATTCCACTGACAGAACTTACAAAATCTGCTCTGTGTTAAGAGTGCTCTCCCAAAGGGGCCAGGACAAGGGCTTCCTGGGAACTAGCTCTCACAAGCCCTGCAGGAGCACTTAGCTCCAGCACCAGCTTAGTGCAGGCTGTGCTCTGGCTGGGAAAGGGGGCAGTGGAGGGTAGAGAAAGAGAGGCCCAGAGCAGCAGGGAATGTTCACGTATACAGGTTATTCCTAAGTAAGGGACCGCCTGTACTCAAGGCTTCTTTAATACATTACCAGCCCTAAAAATAAATCCACAACATCCCAAGAGGTAACACATGGTCTCCCTTTTTCTTTTTTAAATGAAAAAATGTACCGAAAACTGCTTAAAAGCTTGGCAAAACTGAGACAGTAAGACACTGAAAGATAGCTAGGACACAAGTGAGTTACTAAAAACCATAACCAGAACAAAAGTCCATGCTGCTTTTGGAAAGGGACAAAACAAAATCAAAACACAGGTTTCACATGGAAAAGGTAAAAAATTCCATTCTTTCACACTAACGTCAAAATTATGTTTTTTTTAAAAAAGTGTAGAATTTGTAGCAAACTATTGACCTATAAAATGAAAAAATAACTCATTAATGCATAAACCAGCCTTCATTTATGCAAATGCTATACATGCCAAGACACTGTTCAAACATTTTCAGATGCGTGAACAGATGAAGGATTAAAGTGACAGTTTATTGTTTGTGGAGGATAATAGCAAACTGAAGAAAAGTGGAAGATCTGTGAGATTTTAAGAAAAGTCCTGCAGGACTTTAGGCTAGAATTAGCAATGTGACTGGATTCAAGTGAAAAACACTAAAAAGTAAGGAAAGAAAGCAAACAAGAAATAAGAAAAAATAATAGAGAAAAACCAGATGAAAGAAAAGTCCTCAGCGCTGTTTCAGTGCTTTTTCCCCAAAAGGTCACTTCAATTGTTTACACCTCAATTTAAAATTTTCTGCTGACAAAATCAGGTGTGTACACACAACCCCCAAATCTTAACTATTTTAAAAATATGTATATAAATATATAGAGAAAAACAATGTAATGAACTACACTAAAACTTTAATAGGGATTGTCTGTGGTTGATGAGATTATGGATGATTGTTTTCATCTTTATTCTTATTTGGACTTCCAAATTTTCTACAATAAGAACGTATTAACTTTTTAATCAGTAAAATCATTTAACTTTTTTTTTATCCTCAGGTCTTTTTTTTCCCTAAATCCTCTTAAAGCTTTTCCAATAAAATCCTAGGAAAAAGTTGAAACAAACATGGACCATATTCTCTGTAAAATACCTTCATAATTTCCATTCAACTATGTCAGCCACAAAACAAAATCCATTTGGGTAAATTAGCCCTGATTCCACCACCTCAAAACTAACAGAAATAATGATGTAGGCTAGTTAAAAGAATAACAAAAATAGGGACTTCCCTGGTGGTCCAGTGGTTAAGAATCCATCTTGCAATGCAGGGGATGCCAGTTCCATCCATGGTCAGGGAACTAAGATCCCACATGCTGAGGGGCAACTAAGCGCCACAACTAGAGAGCCTGTGTGCTGCAACTAGAGAGAAGCCTGCGCACACACCACAACGAAGTGAAGAGCCCGCGGGCCACAACGAAAGATCCCGCGGGCCGCAACTAAGATCCCATGCAGCCAAATAAATAAATAAATATTTTTAAAAATAATAACAATAAAGAGTAACTTCCAAAGAAATAAAATAACAAAAAATCTAAAAATAGTATCCAAATGTATGTTAGTTCCTAAAAACACTGGGCTCCCTTATTTCAGATGAGTCATCAACATGACACTATGAGAACAGGAGTGAAATGTTACAGACCATGGGGAAAAAAAGGCCTGAAAATTTGGGAAATCCATCTGTAAAGATGATATCACTATAATCTATTTTTAGATTTTTCTTGGGGAGCTGGGGGTATTCTGTGATAGAGTAATGACCAGCATCTGTCTCATCATCAACCTCCATCAACCAATCTGATCACATTCTTCTGGGCTAAGAAAGTAAAGCAAGCTTCAAAGCCGGGAACTGTGCTACTTTTGTCCCACTCTGTCTGCTGAGAGCATCAGATAACATTTAACTTGGCTGCATCCCTCCATTAATTCCCCTTGGGTCTAAGAGAAAAATGACTATGTTTAAGAGAATTAGAGAATGGATTCTGTTAAATCATATTTCAAACCCAACATAATATTTCCAATAGCAATTACTTTCATAGGAGGATATTTGTGATAAGGCGCTGCTCCTGTGGCTAGTTCAATGGCAGTTATTCCAAAACTCCACATGTCAGCCTTGAAGTCATAGCCTCTCACCTAAGAAGGGAAGCAGGAAAAAAAAACACAATTATACAGCCGGCCTGTAATACATGACGAGGTCCATATTATGTCAAAAGTCCATGGCTGTGTGTGCACAACCTTGAGATTACTTTGCTAAGGCCCAGCAATCGGGAATTAAATCTTGCATGATGCATTCTAGTAAAATGAGTGATTTGAACAAAATGTTAGTGTACTAATGATATGTACTGTACAACTATACTATGTCAATCAAAACATCACTTTTATTTTATTTATTAATTTATTTCACCTGCTCCATGACTTCAGGGGCCATCCAACACGGGGTGCCAACGAATGTTTTTCTTACTTTATTCCGGGTAACATCACCCCCTGTTGCTAAGAAAGCACTTACCCCAAAATCTGAAAGGAAAAAAAAAAAAAACCCTTATTTTAGGTAAGACATTATGGCTTACAAATTCTGCCTTTAAGAACATCTCTTTTCCTGATGGGCCTCGCAATGGTGATGACTTGCTCCAAACACTGTGGAGCTCTCTCAGCCATATAGCAGGGCAGTCCTTCCACCCACCGTCCCCTACACCAGCGTTCCCCAACCTTTTTGGCACCAGGGACCGGTTTCATGGAAGATGATTTTTCCCCGGGGGCAGGAACGGCCGATGGTTCAGGCGGTAATGCCAGCCAGAGCAATGGGGAGCGGCAGATGAAGCTTCGCTCACTTGCCCACCCACCCCTCACCTCCTGCTGTGAGGCCGGGTTCCTAACAGGCCGTGGGCAGGTAGCGGTCCGAGGCCCGGGGGTTGGGTACCCCTGCCCTACACTTCAGAGAACGCCCTCATCACAGGTTATGGGTCAGCAAGCTCACCAGTCCAAAAGCTCAGCATATCATTTTATATTTTCTACCAAAAAGGTATCACGAGTCATAACTAAACATAAAAGATTACAATAAAAATAAACATACCTTTCCAAAGCCCTAAATTAAAGGATCTTAGCTTTTAGCTAAGATTCATTTTAGAAAATCATTTATAAGAATAGCACCAAAGGTAGTAAAACTAGCATGTGTTTCTTTTTGTTTTCTTTTATCATGATTATTTTCTAGCCTCTTTAATTTCACATCATCAATGTTTGGGGAGTGGGTTTCTTCCTTGAAATAAAGGATGAATAACATACAACTTCCACATTCCCATGCCCTTCCTTGAACAGTGCTCTGTAACACTTTAGCCAAAATCATAATGGCAAATCCACAAACCCAGGTACATAAAGCCAACATGCCCAGTTTTGCCCACACGTAGCAATCAACACAAAGGATAAGCCCAGTCAGTAAAGACTGGTTTTTTTTCAACGTTTGCTTTCTGGAGAATTTTCATAGACATAGATGGAAAGGTTTGTAGAATGAAATAATACTCTTCTTGACATCCATTATATATTAGAAGTTCTTCTTGTGAGGACATGAATTAATTAAGCATACTGTATACGTGCATGCATTTATGCAAAAATTATGTCTGTATATGTGAAAGTAGAGAGAGAATAGCCAGTGATTATTAATGCATGCATTTGTGCTTAGAGTTTTACTAATGGTTAAAATTAGTAAGTTAAACTACCAACTACTTAGGGCTAGTACAGACCTACCAGTAAGAGCCAACTCAAGGGCACCTCAATAGAAAGCTGGTAAACAGTTATAAAAAAGGGATGTCAACACCTCAAAACACTGCAGCAGATTATGCAGTGTGGACCCCTTCAAACTACTCTCACATGACTCTTCTTTGCTGGCCCCCTTTGGTGATTGCCAGGATGATGGCAATTACCAAAGAACAATGTCAAGTACAAACCAAGGTCAAATATTAGCATTTGCGTTAGATCTACATTATTGTTATGTAATAACACTGGAACCAGTTCCCTGAGTTGAAATCTGTTGCCTGTTCCATTTTATTTATGTTTAAATTTACTCAAATCCCAATAGGATTACAACTTCAAGTAAAAGGAATAAAAATTGACAAAGGGCATCTTTATTCCAACTGCTACTCTCGTGTTAACAGTGAGCAAAAGTATATTCTGAAAATGCTTTATAATTTAATTTGCATGTATGTGCTGAACTCTATTTGAACTCTTATATTACAGTCAGAAAAATCAAGCTTTCTGAAAAGAAACCTCTGAAACCACTGAAACAGTCTCCTTCAGGTAGGAGGAGATAAAATTCATTCTCTTACAGAAGAGCTAGGTCAGCTTAATCATTTGTAAGTATCTACTATATTTGGCTAGAGGAAGAGACAACATGATAGGGCTTTCGAAAATATAAATTTCAACCTCATTTGTATTTCGGAAAAGAAGTTTAACAGTGAATCCAACATTCTGTTCTTATTAAAATAATTTTGTAACATGATAATAATAAATACATATCATCTGTAAATAGTTAAGGATATGGGTAAAAGCTGTTTTAAGGAAAAATAAATTCTTTTCCATGCAGTTGAAGCAATTCTACACCCCAAATATACATATATCTTCCTAAAAGATATAATCTAGACAAAAATCCATTGTTAACATTAATTGTTTTTAATTCCTTAAAATTACCATCTGATGGGACTTCCCTAATGGCACAGTGGTTGGGAATCCGCCTGCCAATGCAGGAGGACACGGGTTCGAGCCCTGGTCTGGGAAGATCCCACATGCCGCGGAGCAACTAAGCCCGTGCGCCACATATACTGAAGCCTGCACACCTACAGCCCGTGCTCCGCAACAAGAGAAGCCACCACAGTAAGAAGCACGCACACCACAAAGACGAGTAGCCCCCACTCGCCGCAACCAGACAAAGCCCGCACGCAGCAACGAAGACCCAAGGCAGCCAAAAATAAATAAATAAAAATTAAACAAAAAAAAAACAAAAACATCTGATTACATTAGACCTTTTAAAGCTGCAAAAACAGCTGAGAGAGATGCATAGTTGCAATTCATTATTGACAATACCTCTTCAATGTATTTTCCCGATTCACATTTGTATTCAGACTCCACTTAGAACACTCACTTTTAAGTCATAAACAGACGGTTAAACGTCTTTAAAGCTCAGAAGAAAAATTCCAGAAGCAGAAAACACCAATCCTAACATCTACTCACCCTATGACTACAGAATAAATGTACAATTTGCTCATACGTATGGCCAGTGTATATAGAAAAAGATTTATATGTACTGTGAAAGAGAACTTTTGGACTGAACTTTGTAGGGTGCTCGTGTAAACAGAAAGACGGGTATATTCTGTGGAGACAGCTTACACGTGACAAGAGAAGTGGAGGTGGCAGAGCAGAAAACAGTGAAAAGCGCCCTCGATTGCTGAGGGGGACCTCCAGATAGCCCAGGGGAGTGGAGCCATATACGTGTGGGTCAGAAACCATGAACATTTCTCTGGCAACATGGAATCAAAGGCTACAACATCAAGTTAGCCAGCCTCAAGGAATAACTGCATCTCAAATCAGAAAGAGTGATAAATTCTTTTCCATGCAGTTGAAGCAATTCTACACCCCAAATATACATATATCTTCCTAAAAGATATAATCTAGACAAAAATCCATTGTTAACATTAATTGTTTTTAATTCCTTAAAATTACCATCTGATGGGACTTCCCTAATGGCACAGTGGTTGGGAATCCGCCTGCCAATGCAGGAGGACACGGGTTCGAGCCCTGGTCTGGGAAGATCCCACATGCCGCGGAGCAACTAAGCCCGTGCGCCACATATACTGAAGCCTGCACACCTACAGCCCGTGCTCCGCAACAAGAGAAGCCACCACAGTAAGAAGCACGCACACCACAAAGACGAGTAGCCCCCACTCGCCGCAACCAGACAAAGCCCGCACGCAGCAACGAAGACCCAAGGCAGCCAAAAATAAATAAATAAAAATTAAACAAAAAAAAAACAAAAACATCTGATTACATTAGACCTTTTAAAGCTGCAAAAACAGCTGAGAGAGATGCATAGTTGCAATTCATTATTGACAATACCTCTTCAATGTATTTTCCCGATTCACATTTGTATTCAGACTCCACTTAGAACACTCACTTTTAAGTCATAAACAGACGGTTAAACGTCTTTAAAGCTCAGAAGAAAAATTCCAGAAGCAGAAAACACCAATCCTAACATCTACTCACCCTATGACTACAGAATAAATGTACAATTTGCTCATACGTATGGCCAGTGTATATAGAAAAAGATTTATATGTACTGTGAAAGAGAACTTTTGGACTGAACTTTGTAGGGTGCTCGTGTAAACAGAAAGACGGGTATATTCTGTGGAGACAGCTTACACGTGACAAGAGAAGTGGAGGTGGCAGAGCAGAAAACAGTGAAAAGCGCCCTCGATTGCTGAGGGGGACCTCCAGATAGCCCAGGGGAGTGGAGCCATATACGTGTGGGTCAGAAACCATGAACATTTCTCTGGCAACATGGAATCAAAGGCTACAACATCAAGTTAGCCAGCCTCAAGGAATAACTGCATCTCAAATCAGAAAGATTGTGGTCATCCTGGTAACGAAAAGGCTCTCACATCTTTTGAATCCATCCAGTTCTCTCCTTCCCCATTGTCAGTGCCTTGGTTTAAGCCCAAGAGTCCTGGGGCAGCCCCCGAGGTCACCACCTCCCTGCTTTCCCCAGACCAGCCTGCAGCAGCCAGGCATTTCTATGTCACAGGCCTGATGGCTCCTTAAAAGTCTTTAAACTCTTCCTGTTACCCCCAGGATAAAGTCAGAATCCCTCAGAACAACATGCAAATCTGACTCCCCTTTCCTCTCCCGCCTCATCTAACACTACTCCCAAATTCCAACCTTGGCATCATCCAAGTGCATTGTTCCCTCCAATAAGGGGAGGACCATCAGCAGAGGACACTTTGCTGGTCCTTATTAATGACAGAAGCGGGCTTCCCTGGTGGCTCACTGGTTGAGAGGCCACCTGTCGATGCACGGGACGCGGGTTCATGCCCCGGTCCGGGAGGATCCCACATGCCGCAGAGCGGCTGGGCCCGTGAGCCATGGCCGCTGAGCCTGCGTGTCCGGAGCCTGTGCTCCGCAACGGGAGAGGCCACAACGGTGAGAGACCCGCGTACCGCAAAAAATAAATAAATAAATAAAAATTTAAAAGTAACTAACAGGGGGCTTCCCTGGTGGCGCAGTAGCTCAGAGTCCGCCTGCCGATACAGGGGACGCAGGTTCGTGCCCCGGTCTGGGAGGATCCCGCGTGCCGCGGAGCGGCTGGGGCCGGGGGCCATGGCCGCTGGGCCTGCGCGTCCGGAGCCTGTGCTCCGCGGCGGGGGGGGGCAGCCGCTGAGCCTGCGCGTCCGGGGCCTGTGCTCTGCAGCGGGAGAGGCCACAACGGTGAGAGGCCCGCGTACCGCCAAAAAAAAAACAAAAAAAAACAAAAAAAT